GTCCAAGTAAACTTTTAGAAATATAAATCAGAAGTGTAACACCAGATTTCAGTTTCGACCTCCCGAGTTTCGACCCCCTAAGAACGTGTACCTAAATCTAAGTAGACTAGTGTTCTCCAACTTCGGTTTCAGTAGAAAAGAGAAGGAGCTGGCCAACCTAAATTAAGGAACATGGTCAAAAATGTAATCGCACGTCCTCGTGCTTGGAAGCAGAAAAACCAAATTCGTTGCCTGTAGCTAGCTGACCGAGCCTTCAAGCGGTCTATACTCATCAACTGTACCCCGCCGCGGTTGTCTAGTGGTTAAAGTACTCGGCAGCTGACCCGCAGGTCGCGGGATCGAAACCCAGCTGCGGCGGCTGCATTCTCGATGGAGGCGAAAATGCTGTGTGCCCGTTTGCTCAGATTTGGGTGCAGAACCCCAGGTGGTCGAAATTTCCGGAGCCCTCCACTGCGGCGTCTCTTGTAATCATGTGGTGGTTTTGGGATGTTAAGTAAACTCCACGTATCATATCAAACTTTAATACCCCTCCCCCAGAAAAAACAAACACTTATGCAGCGTCGTTGCATGCTAATGTAATTTCGGTTTGATTATCGCTGTGGTTAGTGAGAAGACCGCTTCATACGTTGTGCTCCGCCACGTAACACAAGATTTGGTTTCGCGTTAACAAAACATTCCGGCAGTTGTGGGTACACAGTCACTCTCTCGCCGGTTCGGTGAGCCCATTAATTTTGGCCAGACCCTGGGAGTTCATTATTGGCCTTTCGCACTATAGCGTCCGTGGCCTGGCGTGGTACTACTCCGTAATGCTGTTCACCCCCTTTGTCTGTAGTGGTCGTGAAGCGATGCCGGGCTGCGCGACGGGACGTCGTGACGAGCAGCGATTCATCGCTCCGATCTTTTCCCCGTTTTTGTTCCGTCTCTCTCTCTCTCCATCGCGTTGTATGCACACGCCAGTGTATCGCGGAATCTTCACGTTGTGCCGCGGAAGCCGCAACTTTCACACACTCTCCCGGCCAATCGATCATTCGCTCCGACTGTTCCGTCGGCCTTGGTGGATCGCGAAACACTTTTTGTGCCTCTCCGTCTTTTTTTCTTTCGCTTATTATATAGCGTGTTCTTCATTGCTTTTTGCTCGCCCTTGGCTCGCACGCGGGCTTCTTCTTCTTTTTCTCCCGCGGCGTTGTTGTGCCGAGGCTCGCGTTCATCATTTTCTCCTGTTGCCATCTTTGGGGTTGCCTCATCGTGCTCCGTCGGGCGTGTTGGTTCAATCGATCGCCGGAAATGTCCGAAAGCGCGCGACGCCCTTTCGCCCAGCAGCAGCAGCAGCAGCAGCGGCCAGATTGACTCCTTAGATTTGGCATCAGTCACGACTTCGTGAGCTGTCAGCCGACCAGACTTAATGTGCGCGTACAGCAGGTGGATTCTTCTTGGCCATTTCTTGTTCCTTCTTATTATTCTCTCTGTCTGTTCCCTCTCCCCCATTTTTTTTTATTGGGGAGACGCCAGCTTGTATACGCCCGTCACTAATGGCGCAACGGGCCGGTCGCACCGAGTTTTGGCAATCGATTTTTCTTTTATCAGTCGCAATTCCTACAGTGAAAGTAGGCAGCTTTAGCATAGGGTTGGTAGCGGTAGCCTTAATTTGCGTACGTATACGCATTTTGCGAAGTACAACGTTCGTACCCAAGTGGTTGTCGCGTGCGCAGCGGTGACGAACGCTTACGCAAATATTCGCGTACGCTATTCCAAAGCTGCCCAATGTGTGACTATAGCCGGCTGAGCACTGCCAGATGTGGGCACAGTAAGAGCGCCTTTTGTGCAAAGTGTCCTTTTTGTTTTTCAGGAGTGAAGCTTCTTAGGTTTACTTGCACACAAAGTGGTCCTAAGAGAGAAAGGAAGAGAGAAGTGAGCCCCGTAACTGTCTGCTTCAGCGAGCGACACCTCAACAGTAGCTCACAAGGGATGGGGATTAGGAGGGATTAATAGGATAGGAATAAAGGTGTAGAGAGAGAGAGAGAGAGAGAGAAGTGGGCATGAGGTTGTAAGCGAGAGAGCGACGACATATCGAGGGGATAGCAGAGATAGGAAAGATGGAAACACGGTCGCAGGAGTCCGAGGACGGGGCACCACTTGCGAGAGCTCTTGTCGTCGTCAGGAGGTGGCGTAGAGCAAGTCCAGTCGGTCATAGCTACACTGTCGTTGGAGGTCGGCGTCAGGAGATGACGTAGGGTGAGCCCAGTCGGCCAGAGATACGCTGACGTCGGAGATCGCGAGGGCACAACTGGTCGGCACGGAATCCGGCGAGCCTTTATACTTACACCATGCCCATCGTCGTCGTAGGTTCTCGATGTGCCGAAGCACAGGTGTTGCGCAGATCGTATGCAGAGCGTTCGTAGCGCGCTAATGGTTTAAATAAAAATGGACCGTACACCTGCACTATGTTGTCTACCAAGAAAAGTATAATGTGTTTGTTAGTTTGTCCAGCAACCAACCGATCACCGTCCAGGGCAAGTGCACTGAGTGTTTGCAAATTTTGAAATGAACTTGATTTATAGACAACTGTGGTTCCCATGCTGTGATGATAAAGCAGTGCTGTGCAAAGCAAAGCGCAAACCCAGTATTCACGTATATAAACAGCTTTTAACTCTTATAAACATATTCATAGTTGTTTCATAAACATTTTATAATGGTCCAAGGAGCTTCGCTTGATCATCGGCATTCACTTCTTGGATATGCTGCCATTTTTTTCTTGTGTGCATCTCTAGTCGAACAATCTCATTGAATTATAGCTTGTTGCGTGCGCGAAAATTCCGATATGATTATGAAGAATGATTACTAGGAAACCGGGGGGGGGGGGGGGCGTGGACTGTAGTTCAACGTAGTCGAATAGATCTGGTTGCCAATTTGTGGATAAATATCGTTTTCGTGTCCGTAAATGAGAGCCCGGTTTTACACTGTAGCCATAGTTCGGCTGCTGTAGTTCGGAGCGTTCACGTCATTGAAGAAAAAGAAAACAGCAATCGGAGCTCGTATTTCTTATGTTTTATTATTCTATTTTTCTAACTTTTCATTCCCCCTCTCTCGCCCTTGCGTGTCGCAAGCTAAGCCCTTCATTTGTTAAAGTGTTCGCGAAAAAGCTTGCTTCATTGTCGTTTTAATGTCACCGCAGTTCGTGTTTTTACGCATATGAATTATATTTATTAAATAATTTTTTGAGACACGAACTACGCTGTTATCTTCCCGAAGTCTACTGCACGTTTTAAATTCCTCGCTTAGGCGCTGGGTGTGCAGCGGCGGATAGGTGAAACGTACAAAATATATACCAATGAAAAGAGGGATAGAAAATAAAATAAGAAGGCAGGGGAAAAAAAAAAAGCTGTGGCTGGGACAAATTCGGTATCTTCTGTCCCTGAAGCGCGAAGCCTTGCAACAGCGACGTTCGATGTCTCAGTTGACTGGCTTCGCGAATTCATCCGTCCCGCCCCTTTCGTCGGCCGCGGGGACCGTGCATTTTGGTAATTGGAATGAGATGTTCTTACACTACGGCCCCTTTATTTCTTTCTTTCTTTCTTTCTTTCTTTCTTTCTTTCTTTCTTTCTTTCTTTCTTTCTTTCTTTCTTTCTTTCTTTCTTTCTTTTACGTGCTTCGGACCCCGCGCTCGCAGGCAGCTAGCTGTAACCTGAGAGTACGTACTCGTAAGGTTGGTGCAGGGAGCCGCGGGCTGGGCGCTGGGCGTGTAGTATACCTGCGGTACCCAAAGCCGCCGTTCGTGTTCACCGGTCCAGCCATTAGTGCACCCGCCTCCCATGCCTGCCTGCTTCTTCTTCCTGCTCCGCTGCCGTTCGGCGCCGTCGTAATCCGAGCTCTCGTGGCCCGGGCGGCGGCAGCCTTTTTTTTTTCTTTTTTTTTCCTCGGTGTGATAAGGAAGGACCTGTCTTCTTCCCCCGCCTTGCCATGTCGTGTTCCTGGCCGTTGTGTAACCTTCCCGTCGCTTTTTTTTTTTTTTTTTTTTTCGCCGTCGGCCCTTGCACCCACCGTTCCTACGCATCAGCGCACGCTTCGATGCGGCTTCTTCCCGTTCCTTCTTGTTATTATCAATATTTCGTTTTCGCTTTTTATGCGTCGCGTTCTTCGTTTCTTCCGGTTATCTCATACGATGTTAGCCGACTCGCTTTCGCTCGCTGTGTGGTGTGTATTTGTTTTTAAACATTTGTTGGCTATCTTGTCGTTTTAAAGGTGCTTACAGTCACCGTTTAACGCGTACTTCAATGCGCGTACGATGGGATGCTGGTCATTTATGGTTGCCTTGAGAACATGGCAAGTTATAGCATTATGTATACACGTGGAAACACAGACACACAGACGCAACCGTCTGGTTTTCTTATCTTCCATGCTCATTTCTGCTGGCCTTCCTTTATCAATGAATCTCTTATGAACTATCTCAATTGTTTGTCATGTTGGCCAAAGAAAAAAAAAATCTGTAAAGTAACTTGTTGTTGGGCTATAATTGGTGCATATTCTGTGTGTATTTGTTTATGTGAGTGCGTGTGCGTGCGCCTTCTACTTAATTTTTTGTGTGTGTGGAAATAATGCATATGGTTTCACTTGTGTAGTGCCACACCTTTGCAGCTTTGCTAATGCTTTGCTTTAATAACAGTCATGAAACAAAGCACTCGGTGACAACTCCTAACAATTTGGTTTGATAGTTTGGCCGTTGTAAATCTCATCACGTTTGTTAGGTTTGACTATAACTGTACGCCCCACATGTGCGTCTTTATCTTCGAAGTTGAACGTTCGCCGTCGTTGTAACTCGTTACAACGGGAAAACTAGGGCGGAACCTCGATGACGATGGTGGTGATCGGAAACGCTGGTTGCGTCATCAGAGGGCACAATCTACAATCGCAGTGCGCGAATTCGTTGTGATGTGCACGCGTAGTGCGGATGTCGTGCGATGGAGCCTGAACACGTTTTTTTTTATTTCTTCTTCTCGTTGCAGACTGATGACGCCGCTGCTATTACCAAGGCTTAATTACGGTAAGTTTTACAAAGCTTACTATCTTATATTTTTCTTTCTACCTTTCAATGAAACCGTTTGAAGAGACCGTATCTATCATAAACATTGCGATAGTTTTGGTCTTGTTCAATCCATTTATTGAATACAGAAGCGAATATATCTTTAGCAGTGATCCAGCTTTTCGTCACTATAGACGTCGTCACTTTTTCGTTGATTTGATTGATTGATATGTGGAGTTTAAGGTCCCGAAACCACCTTATTACGAGAGACGCCATAGTGGAGGGCTCCGGAAATTTCGACCACCTTGGGTTTTTTAACGCGCACCCCAAATCAGAGCACACGGGCCTACAGTATTTTTGCCTCCATCGAAAATGCAGCTGCCGCAGCCGGGATTCGATCACGCGACCTACGAGGCTGTGCTTATTCGTACAAGATTACCTCACGTCCTTGACTATTTTGCATGGTTAGCTTCGACAACGAAATTCAGTGCCGTGATTAGAGCACTGTTTTTCGACGTTGCTTGTCGGCTGCCATCCCTGCGATCGCTTAGTCTCGCCTTGGGTGTCTTACTTCTATACTATACTAATCTTACTTCCTACAGCGTTGCTCAAACACTCCATGAGCATCTGATCATTCTTCGGACTGTCGTTCATGGAAGAGTATGCATGCACTCACTTTGATTACATGTGGCATCATAATGTATACGGTGACAAGTTACAACGTGTTCTGCGCACGTTTAGTCTATAGCGTCACGGAAATCTTGCCTCGCGTACAGAAATTTCGCCCGTGGGCCTCCTTTCTATCGTAGTTGCGACAAATGTATGTGGGCCACGCCCCGGCGAATAATATCGCCCGCGCGTTCGCGCCACGTGGAGCCGCTGTAAATGTATTATTAACCCCGCGCCTCGCATCGTGTCCTTTCCGGCGCACCTTCGTATAGCTTCTATACGACTGGATCCTTCGGCACACGAGCGGGCGTCATTTCTTTCTGTCGGTGGTGTTTGCCGACAACGACACCGTTATAATAGCGCCTCGAACGGGGCGGAAGCCGTTACAACGTACGAATGCCGAAGAAACCAGAGCGCACCTTGAACCGGTGTAAGGAGTATGCGCTTGCCCCGGATACACGCAGCTGCGCTTCGCCGAGAACCTTCATTACGCCGAAGAATGCTGCCGCGCGCCCGCTATCGTGTAAGGGCGCGGGAACATATTAGGGCAGCCGCCCTGTGGTGTTGGCTGGCGCGCGCATATATACGCGCGAGCCCCGATTGCCATCGAGCCTCTCTTTTGCTCGAGTTGGTGCACCTGGGTGCTAACGCTACGGAGGGGTCCGCTATAAAGTGGGAGGAAGAGTAAGGAAGGCAGAGGAAACGCGCGCTTCATTTAATAGCAGCAGCAGCTCCTCGGCCTCACTTGTGACCCGCGTTTCTTCTTTTTGGTCTGCTGGCGCAGCATCGTTGGTTGAGCAGCCCTTCTTGTATGTGCGTTCCTTCGCAACCCCCTGTCTGTGTGGAACCGGCGTAGAGGAAGAGTATCTCGCCAGACTGCGCGCGTATACTTGATCCCGTGTTTTATGATCTGAGAGTAGCTGCAGCTCGTTTGGCCGCGCGCGTAATGTGTGTGTGTCCGCTGGTCGTTAGACCGTAGCTCGCCGTCGCCTTGTTGCTTGGTTTTTAATCCAGTCTCTTCTCCCTTTCCACCCACCCGATGTTCTCTGTGTTCATCTTTGTTGCTTAAGTATCGCGCGAGTTCGCGCCCCTCCCGACCCGATGTAGCACCCCGCACGGGAGGTTTTCTTTCGCTTCTCAGAGCAGAAATGCGTATCCTCCTCGCCTGCTTATACGTCGATGCGCGTGTGTGTACGCGCGACGCTGCGCTGACCTGTGTGCGCTCCATCGTCGTGCTCCTCTTCAGCCCCGTTTTATGAACCCTTCCCACGGTTCATTTGCTGATCAGCGTGACGAGCCTCCCGGCGCGTCACTGAGAGCCCGGCGCTCGCGTCGCCGTCCTTATAACAGCGCGACGCTTTTACCGTTCGTCGGGCGAGAGAATCGATCCGAATCCGTCCCGTTTCCCGTCTCTCTCCGTCTTCCTCTCTCTCTGATGCGCGTTTCCACGGTCATGGCGCTGTTACCGCGATATGGCCTCCCCTCCGCCGCGCAACCACTCACTACTACGTCTCTTTCGGCCGTGCATTCCCTTATGGCTTCTGCTGGTGTTCTGCGCGTGGCTTCCCCTCTTTTGATTGTGACGTTCGGGCTGCCGCCGTCGTCGTAATCGTCCCCTCTCCCTCCGATGAGTATAGCGATGGGTCCGCCGTCGTAGTCCTGGTCGAGGGCGCACTTATCGTTTATGCAGAAAGGAAGAAGGGAAGAGAGGGGAGGCGCGTTAGGTGAACGACACCCGTCGGCCCTTCTCCGTTCGGCTGTGGACGGCTTGCCGTCTCATTACGCGACCTGCTTGCTCTCTCAGAGCGCTCTTTCCCGGTGAAGTGGACAGCTATGCATGCCTTTTTTTTCGCTTTCTTTTCTGTTTGTTTCTTTTTACCAGATCTCTGCCTGTCGTGGCTTTTTTTTTTTCTGTTTTGTTACGGACATGTCGAGAACTGTAGCTCGCGTGATGGTGTTTGAACCGCTTTGTATAGCGAGATGAATACATCTAAAAGTAGATGGAAATCACTACTGATCTTCCAGAGCCTGATCGTTATGACAACTACGAGAACATTCTCCGAGTTTGTCACATGTTACAGTTGCACAAAGGCTACGCGCTCTTCTGTCCGTCTCGTTAAAGGTCCACTATATTGTAGCGAAACGTCGGGGTTGTTCAAGTTAGGTGCATCGGACAACCAGGGAGACGAATAAGTGTGGGTGAAACTCCGCGGAGGCAATCGATGAGACGTCAACACGATGATTTCAGGGAGCACTCATGGGGGGTTTATTTAGCTAACACAACTTCAATTTACAAAATGCACTGGGTCACAAAGACAAAACATAGAAAATGGTGGCATACCCCTCGGCCTGCATGGCCTGGTCCCCGGTGGTGAAATCCGCTGTTGACCCCGACTCCGCTCACTTTTCAAGTTCAAACATCCTCTTTTTAACCCTTGGTCGAACAAAGAGTCTTCACAAAAACCAATCACATGTTCGGACTCGCAGCATCTCAACAAATCGCAGAAACACTTTCATAAAAGGCACTACACTTGTAAAAACCTCCTTACCAAAATGAAACACGCAAAGGGAAAGGTCCTCCGCACGTGACACTCTCTCCCATACCAGGCCGTGCTGCCTCCTTCGGCCGACTACTGTCGGCGGCCGTTCCCACGTTCGGGCCCCGTAAGTTCTTTCATTAACTGTTGCTTTCTAGAAGCGTCCTTAAGAGCGATGGGTACACCATTGCTTACCAGGTGTACATGCGACAGCGAGGCGCCCCGACATCCTAACAACAGCGCGAGAGAATATTGTCGTTTACCTGCCGCCACTATGTCTCGGTCAGGCTAAGTGGTCGCGTCCCCATGTCATTCTCAATGACATGCGTGCCTGTTACCAATGGCTTAGACTCAGACGGTGGCGCCGGACCTGCCTCTTGCTAGACGCTTTTCCTAGTAAGCTTTCCCCTTCTAATCCCGAACGGGGCGACCTTGACTGCTCGGTTTGTGAGCCGTAAAATGCAGCGTGTAGGCGCCTGTCCCAGGCTGGAAAACACGATTTATCCCACATTCCATTAAAGTCGAAAGCCGAAGCTCTGTAATGGCCAGAGAAACAAACCCAAAGGTAGAAGAGTACAAAGAAAGACTTAAAAAAGAAGCAGGAGTTGGTTTTGCACAAATTTCCTGAGAAGATACTGGAGCTGGAAACCTTGCTCTCGCGACAATATAAGGGCACATTAGAATCGCTGCTAACGCTTAGCATAGTGGTGTCACAGAACCTTGATTGACTTGCAAATCGTTTGAATTGATGCTTGGGTGATATTTTAGCGTCGACTCAAGCTCCCTGATGGTATGTACAGAATAGCGCCACCTTTCCCGTCGATAGAACACATCAGCTAGCATAGAAACATAGTTTGCGTTTGTTGCATAATAAAACCTTTGAATTTACGCATACCCTATTGTCTAGCACAGCTCCATAAGCTTTGTGCTTAGATAACGCCCGAAAATCAATGAGATGACGTAGGATTGTTGTCAGCACATTTCTCTCTGAGCAGTTGGTTGTCTCGCCAATAAATAAGCTGGAACAAGAAAAAAACATTACTTGAGATAAACGACGCTCAATATCAGTGATCGAGCACTGCTCATCTTGTTTCTGAAAACGACCGAACTACAATCTATTCGCAAAGAGGTTAGACATAACGAAACCACTTCATCACTTCTCATTTTGTACTCTCATGTACGTTTCATCACTTCATCACTTCTCATTTTGTACTCTCATGTCATCACTTCTCATTTTGTACTCTCATGTACGTTTTTTTGCGTTCCTGCGTATACTTGGTTGGCCAGATAACCGGCCGCTCAGAGAGTGAAAGGTGCTGACACCTTGAATCTCTGTCATGTCCTTCTCGGGCGTTCTCTACTCACAGAGCTTATGGGGCTGTGCGGGATAATAGCGGATACGTACATTTGGAGTATTTACTACGGAACAAACGCAAACCAGTGTCAGCTTGCTCTATTACATGCTTGCTGATGTGTGCTATCGATAGGAAAGGAAAAGTGGCGCTATTTTGTGCATACCGTCAAAAGGTTGACTCAGCACCACTTGTTAAGGAGCATTAAAAAAAAAGCGGAGAGAGCGAGAGAGAGAGAGAAATCAGCTTTAGTTGAGCTCAAGTAACGCGGGGAACGTGCTTCCGCACGTCCAGGACTTCTATTCGAAGGGCGTTCTTCTCGTGGAGTTTTTAGTTTGCTTTAAGCTCCAAGGAACGCTTTACGCCATCGGAGACTTGTTGTCCGCCATGCTTCTATCATTCGTTGCAAACAGTCGCGCTAAATGAACCCGATTGCGACGCCTCGCGCATTTTGTAGCGTGGC